TCGTTCGGACTTTCGGTATGGTGTCAAGGCGGTGTTGTTGATTTTACGGGTGTCAGGATGGGTGTTTTCGGTTCTTTCGTTGTGAGGACTTTTATGGTGTCAAGGATGGTGCTTTATCGGTTCTTCCTTCGTTGTTGAGGACTTTTACGGTATGGTGTCAAGGATGGTGTTTTATCGGTTCTTCCTTCGTTGTTGAGGACTTTTACGGTATGGTGTCAAGGATGGTGTTTTATCGGTTCTTTCCTTCGTTGTTGAGGACTTTTACGGTATGGTGTCAAGGATGGTGTTTTATCAGGACTTTTACGGTATGGTGTCAAGGATGGTGCTTTATCGGTTCTTCCTTCGTTGTTGAGGACTTTTACGGTATGGTGTCAAGGATGGTGTTTTATCGGTTTTCCTTCGTTGTTGAGGACTTTTCGGTATGTGTCAAGGATGGTGTTTTTATCGGTTCTTTTCTTCGTTGTTGAGGACTTTTACGGTATGGTGTCCAAGGATGGGTGTTTTATCGGTTCTTCCTTCGTTGTTGAGGACTTTTACGGTATGGTGTCAAGGATGGTGTTTTTTCGGTTCTTCTTCGTTGTTGAGGACTTTTACGGTATGGTGTCAAGGATGGTGTTTTATCGGGTTGTTGAGGACTTTTACGGTATGGTGTCAAGGATGGTGCTTTTATCGTTCTTCCTTCGTTGTTGAGGACTTTTACGGTATGGTGTCAAGGATGGTGTTTTATCGGTTCTTCCTTCGTTGTTGAGGACTTTTACGGTATGGTGTCAAGGATGGTGTTTTATCGGTTTTCCTTCGTTGTTGAGGACTTTTACGGTATGGTGTCAAGGATGGTGTTTTATCGGTTCTTCCTTCGTTGTTGAGGACTTTTACGGTATGGTGTCAAGGATGGTGTTTTATCGGTTTTCCTTCGTTGTTGAGGACTTTTACGGTATGGTGTCAAGGATGGTGTTTTATCGGTTCTTCCTTCGTTGTTGAGGACTTTTACGGTATGGTGTCAAGGATGGTGTTTATCGGTTCTTCCTTCGTTGTTGAGGACTTTTACGGTATGGTGTCAAGGATGGTGTTTTATCGGTTCTTCCTTCGTTGTTGAGGACTTTTACGGTATGGTGTCAAGGATGGTGTTTATCGGTTCTTCCTTCGTTGTTGAGGACTTTTACGGTATGGTGTCAAGGATGGTGCTTTATCGGTTCTTCCTTCGTTGAGGACTTTTACGGTATGGTGTCAAGGATGGTGTTTTATCGGTTCTTCCTTCGTTGTTGAGGACTTTTACGGTATGGTGTCAAGGATGGTGTTTTATCGGTTCTTCCTTCGTTGTTGAGGACTTTTACGGTATGGTGTCAAGGATGGTGTTTTATCGGTTCTTCCTTCGTTGAGACTTTTTACGGATGGTGTCAAGGATGGTGTTAGGTTCTTCCTTCGTTGTTGAGACTTTTACGGTATGGTGTCAAGGATGGTGTTTTTTCGGTTCCTTCTTCGTTGTTGAGGTTTTACGGTATGGTATGGTGCGGTTCTTCCCTTCGTTGTTGATTTTAGGTATGGTGTCAAGGATGTGTTTTATCGGTTCTTCTTCCTTCGTTGTTGAGGACTTTTACGGTATGGTGTCAGGATGGTGTTTATCGGTTCTTCCTTCGTTGTTGAGGACTTTACGGTATGGTGTCAAGGATGGTGCTTTATCGGTTCTTCCTTCGTTGTTGAGGACTTTTACGGTATGGTGTCAAGGATGGTGTTTTATCGGTTTTTTTCCTTCGTTGTTGAGGACTTTTACGGTATGGTGTCAAGGATGGTGTTTTATCGGTTCTTCCTTCGTTGAGGACTTTTACGGTATGGTGTCAAGGATGGTGTTTTATCGGTTTCTTCCTTCGTTGTTGAGGACTTTTACGGTGTGGTGGTGTATCGGTTTCTTCCTTCGTTGTTGAGGACTTTTACGGTATGGTGTCAAGGATGGTGCTTTTCGGTTCTTCCTTCGTTGTTGAGGACTTTTACGGTATGGTGTCAAGGATGGTGTTTTATCGGTTCTTCCTTCGTTGTTGAGGACTTTTACGGTATGGTGTCCAAGGATGGTGTTTTATCGGTTCTTCCTTCGTTGTTGAGGACTTTTACGGTATGGGGTTCAAGGATGGTGTTTATCGGTTCTCCTTCGTTGTTGAGGACTTTTACGGTATGGTGTCAAGGATGGTGCTTTATCGTTCTTCCTTCGTTGTGAGGACTTTTACGGTATGGTGTCAAGGATGGTGTTTTATCGGTTCTTCCTTCGTTGTTGAGGACTTTTACGGTATGTGTCAAGGATGGTGTTTTATCGGTTCCTTCGTTGTTGAGGACTTTTACGGTATGGTGTCAAGGATGGTGCTTTATCGTTCTTCCTTCGTTGAGGACTTTTACGGATGGTGTCAAGGATGGTGTTTTTAGGTTCTTCCTTCGTTGTTGAGGACCTTTACGGTATGGTGTCAAGGATGGTGTTTTATCGGTTCTTCCTTCGTTGTTGAGGACTTTTACGGTATGGTGTCAAGGATGGTGCTTTATCGGTTCTTCCTTCGTTGTTGAGGACTTTTACGGTATGGTGTCAAGGATGGTGTTTTATCGGTTCTTCCTTCGTTGTTGAGGATTTTACGGTATGGTGTCAAGGATGGTGCTTTATCGGTTCTCTTTCCTTCGTTGTTGAGGACTTTTACGGTATGGTGTCAAGGATGGTGTTTTATCGGTTCTTCCTTCGTTGTTGAGGACTTTTACGGTATGGTGTCAAGGATGGTGCTTTATCGGTTCTTCCTTCGTTGTTGAGGACTTTTACGGTATGGTGTCAAGGATGGTGTTTATCGGTTGTTGAGGACTTTTACGGTATGGTGTCAAGGATGGTGTTTTATCGGTTCTTCCTTCGTTGTTGAGGGACTTTTACGGTATGTGTCAAGGATGGTGCTTTTATCGGTTCTTCCTTCGTTTTGAGGACTTTTACGGTATGGTGTCAAGGATGGTGCTTTATCGGTTCTTCCTTCGTTGTTGAGGACTTTTACGGTATGGTGTCAAGGATGGTGTTTTATCGGTTCTTCTTTCGTTGTTTGAGGACTTTTACGGTATGGGTCAAGGATGGTGCTTTCGGTTTTCCTTCGTTGATGATGAAACGCAAAACTCGCTTCCTGTCTCTATTTCTCTCGCTCTCTTTGATTTATTGGAAATGTCTCAATTATAGGTGTATTGTATATGAAAATCATAAATAAGAATGTTTTGAAATTGATGTTTCTTCTCTATGTTAAAAAAAAAAATGCTGATGATGTTGCTTGGTGTTTATTTGTTTATTGGGATTGATGTTATGTCTTTATGATTATCGCTATTTGTGTCATTCTATTATTATCAACAATAGGCTTGTAGCAATCTTCTTTATCTTAGGATTATTTCATTTCCTGATAACATTATTAGTACCGTTATAATCAAATTTCGTCTCTAAAAAATTTAAAAGTAGTCAATGATATTATTATTAGTAAAATCGTCATCAAATTACCACAAATGTTATTTCATGATATCCCTTTCGCAAAAACCTGTGACGTCATCGGTTGCACTCTCCAAGGGGATTCAAATCAGCTGGGAAGGTTGCCAGATTTCATTTATTTTTCTATATAGCTATTGAATACGTGTAACTGTACTTATGCTATTTATTTTATTGGTGCTATTGTTGTTGTTATTAGTGGTATTGGAAGTATTAGATTTATTGATTATGAATATTTTATTATTGTTTTGTTTTGTTAAAATCAATGTTATGGTAATAATTCCTATGTTCCATCATCATCGTATTTATTGGGAGTACTAGCATTAACATTAATATCACTGTTGTGGATATTGCTCTTCGTCCTTAAAAAAAAAAAAAAAAAAAAAAAAAAAAAAACACCACCAACCCCCCCCCCCCGCCTCCCTCACAAACACTGACCTCTCCCCCTCCCCCCTCCCCCCTTGCAGGCCGTGGTGCGCATCAGTGTCCCAAAGATCAACGTGTTGGGACAGTACGAGTGGCCCGGCTGGTGGTCCACGAGTGCCGGAAGTGCCAACATCACCATCAGTGACATCCAACTGGCACTCAACCTCCAGCTTGGCATCAACACCAAGGGTTTGTTGATGGTGGATGGACTGCAGGTAGGTTTGGCCCTGTGTGGAGGTGTGGTTCTTAAGATTATATATATACGACATGGTTCTTAAGATTATATAAATACGACATAAATACGACTTGGTTCTTAAAATTATATAATATACGACATGGTTCTTAAGATTATATAAATACGACATAAATACGACTTGGTTCTTAAATATAATACGACATATACATGGTTCTTAAGAATTATATAAATACGACATAAATACACTGGTTCTTAAGATATAATACTGGTTCTTAAGATTATATAAATACGACATAAATACGACTTGGTTCTTAAAATTATATAAATACGACATAAATACGACATGATTCTTAAAATCATATAAATTCAAGGTTCATAAGATTAACTAAATACGACATAAATACGGAATGGTTCTTAAAATGATATAAATTTATGGTTCTTAAGTTGAAATAAATACGACATGGTTCTTAAAATTATATAAATTCATGGTTCTTAAGATGAAATAAATACATGGCTCTTAAGATGATATAAATACGGTATGGTTCTTAAGATTATATATATACACGACATGTTTCTTAAGATGATATAAATACGACATGGTTCTTAAATTGATATAAATGCATGGTTCTTAAGATTATATTAATACGAAATGGTTCTTAAGATGAAATGAATACGACATGGTTCTTAAGATTAAATAAATACGACATGGTTCTTAAGATTATATTAATACGACATGGTTCTTAAGATTATATAAATACGACATGGTTCTTAAAATGATATAAATACGACATACGATAAGATGGTTCTTAGGGTAGATATAAATACATGGTTCTTAAGATTATACAAATATGACTTGGTTCTTAAGATGGTATTAATGCGACATGGTTCTTAGGCTGATAT